TTTAGTGAAGCAAAGTAAAATAGAAAGAAAAAATAGAGTACAGCATATATTTCTTCGTAGACTAAAAAGACTGATATCTATTATAACGCAACAATGAATAATTTTACCTACGTGATCGGGGTTGATGTTGGAGGAACTAACACAGGTAGAACAACGCGTGTTTTTCATCATGTCGAGTTATATGCACTGCTTTAAGAGACGTCTTTTCGAGAACGTTAACGGGACCTTCGAAAGCATGTAAGCATCAGCGAGAATAAGAGCATCTGATTCGACAAAATGTTAACATCATATTTTTCTATAGAAGTTGAATGCGATAAAAAAATAGTTGGCATCTTTCGACGTCTATGGCAAATACTTCGGCTGTCGATGCAGTGTTTCTGAAGTAGTCTTACCTTAATCAGTTCAAACCTCTATCAGATCAACAAATGCATCATAGTAGATTGAAAAAATATTTAACTTATGCTATATGACTGGAGATGGACAGATCCACCTTCTCCTGCCTTCTAGGTATTTTCAGAGGTATCGGACAACAAAACTGATTTTGAAATGAGGTTTTTTTCAATTTTCGGGCCTGTCCTAACTCTTATAAACGATAGTTTGTGGGAGCAAATGAGCTTTTATAGTAGATCAACTCGACATTTGCTAATGTCTTTAATAATTTGTCCATGAACGGTGTCTCTAAGCAATAAGAGATGTTATGACGTAAAACAGTACGATAAACATTCCAGGTTATGTTTTATGGTTTGTTTAGATGCAGTTCTTTTACGTATTCAGTCCGACAATGGTAATTCCACCTATATGATCTAGTTATCGTTAAATGTTATCAATGTTGTTTCTATTTTAGCTCCAATTGTTGTAACTTGGACTAAATCTGTAACAACTCCTGACGTTTCGACTGGGTTGATAACTGCGTTAGAAAAAGTTTATAGCCAAGGAAAAGAAAAATGTGGGATGGATTTGGTTGTTTCAGCCATTATGCTAGGCACAACTCATTTCGTTAATGCTGTTTTACAACGCAAAGGGTTAGCTAAAGTTTGTACAATTCGCTTATGTGGCTTGGCGACACATTCGCTGAAACCAATGACACACTGGCCACTTGATTTAAGGGAACAGGTAACTGATCGGCAACTAACTTCTGCTATATCGATATATAACAAGAGTACTGGTTTTCTGAGTAACTTGGCAACAGAGCCCTGCAGGTTGATCCTAACCTAACCTATAGGTTAGGTTAGGATTTGGTTGCAAAAGTTATAGGCTAGGTTAGGTTATAGGTTGTTCTATTTGTTTTTTCAATGGTTAGGTTAGGATTAGGTTGTGAAATTTTTTATAGGTTAGGTTATAGGTTGCCAAATATCGGCAACCTGCAGGGCTCTGCTTGGCAACGAAAGATGACAGAGAGATCGCGCTTTAGTCATTTTGTACACCTTATTGCATCTTGTAACCAACAGAGAACCGAGAACTCGGATCTGCATACGGTTTACCTCATCCATCCTGGTATTATTGTGAGTACCAAAAATTGTCCTATAACGACTCCTATGTTTAAAAGATGTCACAGATAGTGTGCGACGACCATCTCACTGTCATTCATGGTACTTTGTTTTATTCGCTCAATCTGCATATTTACTTAAGATTAATAAAAAATATCTTTGCAAAATTTCTGGAAAAATATTTCTAGCATCGAAGTATCCACTGTAAAGTTTTAATGTGTTTATTAAATCCCATGATATGGTGTATATGAAATAGAGTATACCTCGATATTCCACAGCTGTCTAGATCGTTTCAACTAAATTATAAATTTCCTAATTTTCTGTAAAAATAATCAGAAATGAATAATTCCGATTGATATAGGTTTTCAATAACTTTGGATGTTTTTCTGAGAAAAAGAAACATTACCACGGGATGATAGAAAACCTAACTCGATGTGTCTATGTACTTAACTAATACAAAAAAAGCAGTTCTACTACTCCTAAGAAAATCGATCTCATTCGCAACCCATGAAAGACAGTGAGATAGTTGTTGCAGACTATCTGTGACATCTTTTAAACATAGAACTAGTGGCGTAGACA